TATCTCTAATTTTCTTGAAGAGATCTCTAGTCTTTCCCATTCTGTTGTTTTCCTCTATTTCTTTGCATTGATCGCTGAGGAAGGCTTTCTTATCTCTCCTTTCTATCCTTTGGAACTCTGCATTCAAATGGGAATATCTTTCCTATCCTCCTTTGCTTTTCACTTCTCTTCTTTTCACAGCTATTTGTAAGGCCTCCTCAGACAGCCATTTTGCTTTTTTGCATTTCTTTTCCATGGGGATGGTCTTGATCCCTGTCTCCTGTACAATGTCACAAACCTGTCCTCTTAGACTGCTATTAATATTTTGATATCAAAAGTATATTGCATGCTTTTGAAATCAAATAAATCCTGAAGCTTTGATGCAGAGACATGGGTTTGAGCCCTAGGTTGGGAAGATCCCCTAAAGGAATAAATGCCAAATCACTCCAGTATTCTTGCCTGGAAAGTCCCATGGACTAAGGAACCAGGTGGGCTCTAGTCCATGGGGTCACAAAAGAGTCAGACACGAATGAGAGACTAAACAAACAAATAGCTTTAGTTTTTGTCAATATGAACAGTTAACTCCAGTGATGAGTTTGTTAGAATCCATTTTCCCCCCAAAACTCAAATGCATTTTACTGTCTCATTCCATGTCTATTCTGCACCAACATCCCTGGTTTCTTCCATCGCATGCAAATGCAAACCATTACCTTCATGTTTAGTGACTGTTGATGCAATGGGGCTCTTCCTGAGGGTATTGCAGACTGAGCACCCCCACCACAGGGACTAACGCGAACAATTTTCATGTCTGATGCTTCCAGCTCCTGCAGTTGTGACGTTTTCGTTTGATGTGGGAAATGGGCCTTTTGAAATCTCAGTGCAGTCACCCACTCACTTCAATGACAACAAGTGGCACTACGTCAGGGTTGAGAGGAACATGAAGGAGGCCTCAGTTCAAGTGGATCAGCTCTCACCAAGGACGCAGCCGGCCCCGGCAGATGGGCATGTCCTCCTGCAGCTCAACAGTCAGCTCTTCGTGGGTAAGCCCTGCTGTGGACAGTTTGTCTTTAATTGTATAATGTCAGTACAGAGATAGGCCAAGAGAAACTAACGCCAACTATAGATAATGATGCAGTCCCTGGGGTCGCAAGGAGTCAGACACGACTGAGGGACTGAACTGAACTGATAAGATAATGATAACACCACCCCCAAACCACCATCTATTGAGAACTTACATTCCAGGCTGCACTGGGTGTTTTGACTACTTCCTCATAACCAACCTGTGCAATGGATATTATCCCAGTTTCACCCACAAGGTAACTGAGGTGCAGGAGGCTGAAATCTCTTGCCTTCAGAAACCCACCTAGTAATGAAATTCACATTTGTGTTTGACTAATTCATAAACCTGCATTCTTTTCATTTCCAGTTTTGTTGAGATGTAATTGACATAGGGAACCATATAAATTTAACATAAATATTCTTAATTTTCCAGACTATGTGACTTGTTCCAATTTTTTTTTTTAATGTTAGTGTCTTTAGTATGATGTTGGACTTGTTTACCATTGTTCCCCAGGAAGTCAAATAACCCTTCTTGTAAATCCAACTGACACCAGCCAGTGATCCNAGGGAAAAAGAAAAAAAAAAAAAACAAAAAACCAGCATGAGCGAAGTGTTCTAGCATTCATGGTTTGACCAGTTATACCAGTTCTACTGGTGTCCATTATTTTCCCATTTTTCTGATGTCTTCTGATCACCTACTTTATATTTATATCCAAACGTCATTCCTTTATTTTCTAGTTACATTCATTTGGTAGGTATAGACTTGATAGGAGAATCCTTCTGAGTGTGTTTGTTTTACATCTTTGCTAATTACAGGACTTATTGATCATGAAGTTCAAGGAATTATCTTTTACTTGATCACTTTTCACGTATTTTAGTGTAAATGAGGACACAGCAGCACTGTCACTCAGGATAAATTGTAAATTATCAGAAACTGTTTCAAGCCTTTGTAAGAGTTATGTTTTAGAGCAGAATTCTCATCAGATCCCCATTACATCTTCTCTTGTTTAATGGCCTTGTTTTAAGCTCTCTCACTGGGAGGGATGAAGCTGATTGAAGGGTATGGAAATAATAAAGAAAACATGAGAGGAAATTCATAACTTTTCTTTTAATAACATGCTAGGAGCTCAGTCAGGAAATTGACACAGATATTTCTTGAGTTACAAACAATAAGAGATGGTCACAGCAAAAGGTATGGCAATTTAAAATCTGTCAGGATCTAGGAAATAGCCTTCCTGTTCTTAGAAATTGAGAAAGCTGAAACAGTCCTCGAATTTTTCAGTGAAATCTGCTGCAGTTTGCCTGGGCATGACCTTTCATTCTTTGTATGAATTTTAACTTCCTAGAAATGGAGTCACTGTGTATTGTGTCTGATAGGAAGCTTGGCCTTAATTTGTTTTTAGGGTAGTTGTAATGGATAGAAATACTATTATGATACAGAATGATATATTAGGACAGACTTGAGTCTTTTGACCTCAGTCATGTGTTATAATTTTAATAAGGATCTAAGAGATTTTATCTTTATGGGGAATACTGGTTAGGATTTTTATATTCCCATATGTTAAAATCAAGCATGATTGTGTTATTAGAAAGGTTTAGAAATTGAAATCTTTATTGTATTTTCAAAATCATTGAAAATTAAAAGGAAAAGCAGAAAGAAAGATCTTTGGAAAAAGTTATGTCTATTGAGAAAAATCTCTTTTTATAGTCCCCTCCTTCCTACTCACAGCTAACTGAGTAAATAGAAGTGGTTAATGTAATTATATTAAAAAATGCACTCATGTTGAAAGAAAGTCTTGCAGCGTTAGGTGGAGACACATCATTGATTGCCAAGAGGCCATATAGAGGTCTATTTTTATCTTTACCTCTACTGTAAGACTGAACTACTCTTAGGAAAGGACCCCAACCAAGTTAATAGAATAATACATACAAGATAATATCATAATTTGTCAGTTTTCAACATTACTATTAAATCAGCATTTTTTAATTTCTCGATGAAAATACCTTTCCCCTTTGGGAAGATTCAATGGAATTTAAATTATAATTAAAAGGTTATACTGAATTAGCATAAAGTGGGTGAAACTAGTACAAAAAAAACTAGTAATAATCACAGCTAGTTTGATGTAGCACTTATTAAGACAAAAGGTAGTTCTCTGCCTTCCTGAGAGTATATTTCTGGGGAAAAGGCAAGAAGCAGCCAAAAAAAGAATAAAAACAAAATAAAGGCAAAGAGACAAAACAAAAAAATACATATATAAATATCAGTTCAGTTCAGTTCAGTTGCTCAGTCATGTCCGACTCTTTGTGACCCCATGAATCGCAGCACTCCAGGCCTCCCTGTCCATCACCAACTCCTGGAGCTTACTCAAACTCAGGTCCATTGAGTTGGTTAGGCCATCCAACCATCTCATCCTCTGTCATCCCTTTCTCCGCCTGCCTCCAATCTTTCCCAGCATCAGGGTTTTTCCAGTGAGTCAGTACTTCACATCAGGTGGCCAAAATATTAGAGTTTCAGCTTCAACATCAGTCCTTCCAGTGAATATTCAGGACTGATTTCCTTTAGGATGAACTGGTTGGATCTCCTTGCAGTCCAAGGGACTCTGAAGAGTCTTCTTCAACACCACAGTTCAAAATCATCACTTCTTTGGCACTCAGCTTTCTTTATAGTCCAACTCTCACATCCACACAAGACTACTGGAAAAACCATTGCTTTGACTAGACGGACCTTTGTTGGCAAAGTAATGTCTCTGCTTTTTAATATGCTGTCTAGGTTGGTCATAGCTTTCCTTCCAAGGAGTGTCTTTTAATTTCATGGCTGCAATCACCATCTGCAGTGATTTTGGAGCCCAAAGAAATAAGTCTATCACAGTTTCCACTGATTCCCCATATGTTTGCCATGAAGTGATGGGACCAGATGCCATGATCTTAGTTTTCTGAATGTTGAGCTTTAAGCCAACTTTTCCACTCTTCTCTTTCACTTTCATCAAGAGCCTCTTTAGTTCTTCTTCGCTTTCTGCCATAAGGGTGGTGTCATCTGCATAGCTGAGGTTATTGACATTTCTCCTGGCAATCTTAATTTCAGCCTGTGTTTCATCCAGTCCAGCATTTCTCATGATGTACTCTGCATATAAGTTAAATAAGCAGGGTGACAATATACAGCCTTGATGTACTCCTTCCCCTATTGGAACCAGTCTGTTGTTACATGTCCAGTTATAACTGTTGCTTCCTGACTTGCATATAGATTTCTCAGGAGGCAGGTCAGATGGTCTGGTATTCCCATCTCTTTAAGAATTTTCCACAGTTTGTTGTGATCCACACAGTCAAAGGCTTTGGCATAGTCAACAAAGCAGATGTTTTTCTGGAACTCTTTTGCTTCTTTGATAATCCAGCAGATATTGGGAATTTGATCTCTGGTTCCCCTGCCTTTCTTTATCCAGCTTGAACATCTGAAAGTTCACAGCTCATGTACTGTTGAAGACTGGCTTGGAGAATTTTGAGCACTACTTTGCTAGTGTGTGAGATGAGTGCAATTGTGTGGTAGTTTGAGCCTTCTTGGGCATTTCCTTTCTTAGGGATTGGAATGAAAACTGACCTTTTCCAGTCCTGTGGCCACTGCTGAGTTTTCCACATTTGCTGGCATATTGAGTGCAGCACTTTCACAGCATCATCTTTTAGGATTTGAAATAGCTCAACTGGAATTCCATCACCTCCACTAGCTTTGTTTGTAGTGATGCTTCCTAAGGCCCACTTGACCTTGCATTCCATATATATATATATAACAATGTATATACATACACACACGAGCATGGATATACACATATATGTAAAATTTCAGATAACGATAAATACACAAAGTAAAAGTGGGATAAGACCTCAGACAGTTTGGTTTGCAGACTTCTGTTTCAAGTGGGGTGTTCACTGGAGTCCTCCTTGAGGACCTTACACTGGAACAGAGGCCAGCGGAAGCAGCGGGATCCCTGTGAGCATCCGAAGGAAGAGAATTCCGGGCAGTGGGGATGAGCTTCAGGAAGTAAGGAGCAAGTCATGAGGTCTGAGGATGGAATTTGTGTGGGAGGAGAGGATGGTGTGAAGTGAGGTCGAGTTGTATATTATAAGGCCATGGTCAGGACTTTGGATTTTGTTCTAAAGGCTCAGATGAGTGGAATGGTCTAATTTCTGTTTTCCACCTTCTCTCTTACTAGGGAAAAGGTAGAAGCAGGCCACGGCTTTAGTCCCCGAGAGAGATCGTGGCGGCATGGGCCAGAGGGGAGATGGTGATAAAGAGAGTTGGGGCATGTCTTAAACGGAGGTGTACACCGCTTACTAACGGGTTGGTTATCTCTGCTCGTGTCTGCCATTGACTCCTGCTAATATCCTTCAGCAAGTTCTCTGCATTACTCACATCATGTCTCAGTTTTTAATATCACCTGGAGTCAGCTTTTCTTGTTTTCTTCCTTTATCCTAACTTGTAGCAGGATTAAAGCTGTTCCCTGGCCCCACCATGCAGTCCAAACCACAGTCTCACCAGCCTGGAAGAGACCCCTGGGTATTCTTCATAGTCTGGGGAAAATAACCCGCCTCCCCAGTGAGGTTCCACCCACCCATCACTGTCACCAGGAAGTTGGGCTGCTTTGTTCAAGTGTTCTTTGCCAGCACATGGCAGATGTAGAGGGATCTTCTCTTAGAAACTGTTTCCCCACTTAGTAATGCCTTCACATTGTTAAGTCAACTCCCAGAGCCTGGACTCCTGTGGGTGACTGGGAATCTCTGCTTTAATCCAATATAATTGATTTTCTGGCTAAAATCTTAAAGGGCAATTTCACTTCCCTTACTTACAGGTTCAAGAGTTTAATTTGTAGTTCACCCATCCATATTAAAAATAATTATGACTAATCAGTATTTTCAAGGGTGCATAATGACTATCATTTGTATTTGGGGATCAGGACAAATAAATGAGATAAGTGTAATCGAAAAGAGTAAG